GTTTTATTTATTTCAATTTGTGAGATAGTTAGAGCATTTTCAATTGTAGTATAAAATTGGGTGTAAATTAATATTTTCAAATTACTTTTTTTTCTTTCAAAATAATTTTTTCATCCTCATTTACATCCCAATTGATCTAAATTCAAATTTTATGGCAATTAAAAGATCTAAATTCACTTTTTGCCTCTTGTGGACGTAAAAAAAAGTGTAAATTTACATCATTTTTTACACTTTCAGTTAGAAAATGCAATTTTCATTTCCATTAAATCTCTTGGAGAAGTTTTCGACCACTTTGAATATCTAAATCACAATTATAATCTATTTTACCCTACGATTGAAAATGCTCTTATGAGTTAGCTCATTTGATTATTATATACTATTTTTTGCCTGTGTATGTTAATTAGATCATAATATTAAAATTTATTGGTGTACTAATTTCTTTCATATTATAGGAAAATACAGAGAACTTTGATCAGACAGGTCCCAATTCTTCAAAAGACTATTTCAATAATTTTGCTTAAAGCCTTTAATTTGTATATATATCTGTAACGATTTAATCTATTAAGCGAGACAATATCAACAATTAAAGATTGTGTCTTTACTATTATTTTTAATGCAAAATGATGAAACTTTTATTGATTTCTCACTTAACATAATATTTCGAATATAAATAAAAGGTACAAATTCCCTTCAAAGACTTAACATTTTAAAATTTTATTTTCCCCTTTGGAGTTGAGGGGTGAGGTGCAGCTCTAACTTTCCACATCTGTACACTTAGAGCCCAATGACATTTATTTGTTATCGTAACGTAGCATTTGACCTATCAAAAAACATAAACCAAAGTTTAGAACCCACTCAAAATTTCGTATTCTCTACAACACGTGCATGCGAATTTAGTTGTATACACGTATGCACATATACAAATGCCTATAAAGTGAATTATATCATTAAGGCGTATGACAATAAAAAGAAAAAGAAAGAAAGAAATTAAAATATCGAACCTTGACGTTCAAAGAAATGGTTCACATCTTAGCATCAGCATCAGCATCAGCATCATGTGTAACCACAAGCTGGGAATGTTGTTTCAGTTTCCCATCATCTAATGTTTCAAGTTGTTGCTTTGATTTGTCTGAACTGCTTTCCAAATCCCATTTTTGAGGTTTTTCTTCTATAACTTCAGTTTTCTTATACTTGCAGTACAACAAAAGCTGGAGTAAGCCTAGAGGGGTACCTACCAGGTTGGGTGACTACAAAAGAACACATCAAAATCAGTATGCACCGTCTGATCTCAAATCAAAATAAAACTATTTTGAATACACTTATGTTGTACTAACCGCAAGAACAAGATCGTGGATGAGTAGTCCATAAGCCATCCTAAGTGAACTAGCAAGTAATGAGAAAAATGACAAGTAAAATGGCATAAATTCCACGCTCTTGGTCCGTATCACTTGTTTCTGTAATAAATAGCACAATCATGTTATGACCAAAATATTTAGCAATATATACAAGTAAAAAAAAAAAATTATAAACCTTTTTGGCAACAAAAATTACTTACCATGACCACGAGAGGAGATCCGTACATTGCTACAGATGCAACGAGCCCAACACTTCCTACAAATTCTTTGCGACGGCGATGATCATGAAAGGAAAAAGTTGATAAAATTGCAGTGATGCAGAACAAAACGAGTACTGGTATCGTCAACATAGCAACCTTCTTCTGCACATTCATTACAATTTACATGTAAACATTAGTGATATATTCATTCTCTCTAGTCTTTAGAGAATGATACATGCAAGTGCAATTTATTGAGAATAAGACTTAGCCCCTGTTTGGTACCACTAAAAATTTGATTAAAATTTAAGTCAAAATCAATAATTAATTTTAACTACATATTAATTTTATAGGACTCACAATTTTTTAACCACACATTCCATCAACTTTTATCAAAATGATTTTAATATCTACCAAATAAGAGCTTAATCTGTTGTATGGAGAAGTAGCTTGCCTTTCCATTAGCCGAAGCAAAGTAGAAATATATGGCTATGAAGGAGAGCTCGAAAAGAATCCCTAATCCATTAATGGTTACGACAGGAAAGTTTTCCCACTGATAACTCACGATTGGTAAGCCGTACCATGTGTAGAGGAAACAACACAATAGTGCAATAATGTATGGCACGCACGAAAATTCTTCCGTGCTTTTCCTTCTTATTACCCTTGAGAAAGTTAGTCTGCAAGAAATATTGGAAAATACAATACCTAATAGAGTTAAAATCGTGTTCGATCTATGGTACATAGGCCATGAATGGAATTATCAAAAATAAAATAAAATATACTAAAGAATATTATGTTACACTGGGGCAGCATAGAGAAACAAAGTGGCTGCATTCCCTGCAAGAAACGCCATGCAAAGTTGGTTAACTTGAAGCTATCAAAAAATACACAAAATCAATAGTGGAGATGAAAGGGAAGAAGGGTGCGTGTACCCATAATTCCGACTGCCAAACGAATTCGTTCTGCCATGTTTTTCGATACAGAAAGAAAGAATGAAGGAAGAGATGACTTAACTGATGTATATTTTCTGCAAATTGTTTCACGTAAATGCTCTCAGATCCTATTAGCTTTATAATAATAAGTTATTAAAATGGAATAACATATTGAGAGTGATTTTGCTATTTTGGTTCTCTTGTACAAGAAGATGTCACTGGTCTTCCACTGATACAAATTGAGTTATTCTTTGGTACGTACCTTATTGATGTAGAGAACATAGAAAGCACCTAATCACTTGACTTTTTTGATGATAGGGTTCGATGTCAGAATCAGCAAAAGTCCTAATTCGAGTTTTATCACAAATTATTTACGACTTTTTGAGGTAAATTGATTATTTGTTTGGGCTCCATATTTTCAAGAAAATGCCTTTTGAAATAGTAAAAAGTTGGAGAATGTGTGGTTAAAAAATAAAGAAAAACTTTCAATTTACGTGTAAAATTATTTTATAAGAAAATGTATGGTTGAAAACGAGTGTTGAAAAAATGAGTTTTTATAAATATGGAGCCAAAACATGGGCTGAATCTGGTCTGAAATGGCGTGTGGAAGACAAATTTTACATAAATGAATTTGTTTACTCTCAACTTAAACTTTTTCAGGTGGTTTGACAGTTATTTTGTTATTCAAATATTTACTAAAAGGTCAAGGTGGTTTATACTTTCTACTCGAGACGGCTCCAAGGCTTGTTTCTGTGTCAAAAAAAAGGCTAGTCTTATTCACAATGCTATCCAACGATACATAATATCGTATCTTGCACCAAGGCCAAATATTCGAAGCAAACTACTGCAAGAAAGAGTTCTTTCGCGCAGCTTGCCCCGGCTGTGAAATGGAAATTTGCTTAACATGAAACTAGTGTCTTAACAATGTACAATATCCAGTGTTTCAAAGTAGAAACCATGGGAAGAACCCTAGAAGTGGCTGTCAAAGTATTTAGCGTCTGTCTGGGAGAGCTTTTTCCTCAATTTTAGCAATTAATTGGCCGTTATTCAAACATGGGTCCCATTTTGGCAGCAATTTTTGACATTCTAAAAATGAAATATCGAAAATGCCTGCCTATCATGAAAAATGAATTAAATGTTAAGGGCAAAAAAGTCATTCTGCATTAAAATGGTCCAAAATTGCGGCTGTCATGTCTGACATTCTGCTTTAAAGTACTGTTGACAATGAAAAGCAACGGTCACAATTTAGCTACAAATCAGAGAAAAAACTTTTACAGACAAGCCCTTAATTTATGGAGGGAAAAGTGAAAAATCCATTAAGATCACTTACATTCAACAATTCATTAGCTTTGTTTTTTCAGTTGAATTATGTTTTACAATTCTAAACCCACAGCAAAAGAGACAAAGGATTAGGAAAAAGACAGAATGTGAGTCGAAGGGAAAGATTTTGTCATAGGCGGCAAATTTGATTGATAAGAAAACACAGATTGTACATGAGAAGAATAAATAAAACATATGCAACTTTGAAAAGAATCAGCTTATGGAATCAATTGGTTGTGAGTTCAGTGGCTATGTGGTGTGCACATAAATGTCCTTAATAAGAGTGTGTTTCACTGTACTTAAGAAAGCTTCTTTTTTTTTTTTTTTCAAAACTAAATCACGAACTCTCTCGAGGCCAACGCCCTTCGGAAGCTAAACTACGTCCCAAGCCATATGCTAGTGATCCCCATAATCCCATTCCACCCTGCCAAAAGCAAGAATTGAGGAAGTTGTCAATAACTTTAAAAACTTCCTTCAAAATAATAAAAATGTTTTGCAATAGGAGCTTGTCCATAAACCTGCTTTGAAAAGAGGTTGCAGAAACACGACAAGTAAACTTTTTAGAAAAACGAATAGGAATAGCTAATAAGTAACTTTGAATATTATATATTTGACAAAAATAAGTAACTTATAATAAGGTTAACCTTACTTATAAACACAAACCAACTCACTAAATCTTACCATTTATAAAAAAGTACTGTACATGTCCCATGTATATTTGCTTTAAAAATGAGTCTAACATGCAAGCGAAGGCATCGGTTGAAGACAAGCTTTAAATAGCAAATTTGTCATTATTTAACAGTTTAAGAATTTAAACAACGTTATTTAGGATTTGTTTGAGCTCATTTTTGGAAGAATAGATTTTGTAATAGTGGTTTTTTT